GGCGTATTTCAAATACTTTTGCGTGCACCTGTACAATTTCCGGTTTTCTGAGAATCTGTCTTCATGAGAATCCGTCTTCTTGAGAATCCGTCCTATTGAGAATCTGTCCTTATGAGAATAAAGGAGTTTTTCCCCTTCTTTTATACAAGTTTTCTTGAAAATTTTAGGGAATTTTTGGTTGTACCATGTTTAATATGGATTTGGAATGACATAATATTCTGTGTTCATATCAGGGATGCCCCAAATGGTTATGACGAAATCTGCAGATACAGATGCAACATTGCAACAAAAAAAAAATCAGGTTTTTTTTTTGTCTGGAACTCAATCTTATTGAATTTTAACGGGCGAAATAATCGACTTCGTAACATCAGTAGAAGCTACGAAAGTTTTGACTCAAAGTGGAAAATTCAGAGTCGGACTTGAATTTTCAACTTTAAATTAAAAATTTAAACCGGCAATTAAATAGTTTCTGGGTTTAAAAACTGCGCTAGACTCTAAACTTCAATATTAATACAAAAAATGCAATACTTAATAGGCCTTTACTTGCTCAAATCAGCCTTCAAAGGTGCTGAAGTCGAGAATTCCTACGATAGTAATTTGATTAAAAAAAAATTAATTATTGTCTATTTTATCTTTCCTAAGGCTAATTATGGCGGAAAGTGTATAAACTAACAAAATAATAACTTAATCGCTTTTAGTATTTACTTAGATTTTTAACTGCCTCAGTGGCCGAACGGTTACCATGCTGGACTGCCACGCAGAGGTCCTAGGTTCGATTCCCGGGCCGGGAGAAATATTGTATGGCCTACAGTTATTTCTCTCGTGAGTTTGGGTGTAATTTGTGATTGTCTATGTGTGTGTCCATGGCACCCGCGACACAGGGTTTCCCTAGTGCGGGGCTATGTTGAGTGTGTGCGTTACTATTATTAAAAAAAAAAAAAAAAAAAAAAAGATTATTTAACTTTTTTCTTATTTTTCTTAACTTAATAAAACACAGTGCTTGTGCACATAGAACTTGTCAACTTTATGTTGCAGAGTAACGGGCACGGTGGCTTAGTAGCACTGCAAGCAAGACTAAGCCCGTAACAGCTTATTAAACCCACTTGATATCATAAAAAAATGTAAGTTGGAGTAAATAGTTACTACATTTTCTTCGAACGTCCACACCGAAAGGGATCATCGTATGAACTGAGTACTCGGAAGAACAACCACCTGCAAGGAAGGGATAAGGAATAGGTGGATTTGGATAGATGGAATATTTATCGAGTTCTAAGATTTTCCCGATTGTTACACATAGTTAATAAAGTTCAAACACTCGGAAAAAATACCTTCGATCCGGCCGGATTCGAACCGACGTCTTCTAGCATAACGTGTCAGACGCTTTTAAACCTAACTTAACTTAACTAATTGTGTCTTTGCGATAACATCCAACATATCCTGAAGGAAGAACGGTTTCGTTATAATTCGGTTTTTGGTGTAATGAAAATTCGAACTAACGTTATTTCGGAAAAAAAATTCGAGTTTGTGATAGGTTACCAATATTTTCTTGAAATTTAAATGGGATCATTACTGAGATACTCTCTTTCCAATAAAAAAAGAATCATCAAAATCGATTTACAAATTATCGCGTAACATAGATAAAAAAGACATACATACAGTCGAATTGAGAACCTTTCCTTTTTGTAAAGTCCGTTAAAAATAGTTTCATTTCTAGAATATTGATTTAAAAAAATCTAGATGAAGCGCACGACTTGTTCGTCTGTCGCTTAATACCATAAAAAAGGCAAATTTCGTTTTGTGCTTATAATATCTCAGCCTAAAGCTAACAATCTAAACTACAACAATTACCATTTTCTATTTGGTGGTCCGTTAGTCAGTTTATATTTAGGACATGTCGAATATTACGCTATATGTATAAAATATACAGTTTTCCTTATAGTTATAACTCAGGAATGTAAAATATTTGAAAAGGGTTGGAAGGAATTGGACAAGGACAACATTAAGACGAATTTGCTCCCCAAATGACACACATACACTTCGCAAATAAATTAGTAGGGTTGAGATATTTATTTTATAATTTATTATTATTATTAGATATTTATTAATACGCACTGATCAATCTGGCGAACCCGAAATCGCAGAGCTTGACGACGCCTTCGGCTGTGAGAAGGATGTTCTCCGGCTTGACGTCCCGGTGAATGCAGTTGTGTCGGTGGCAGTATGCTACGCCTTGCAGCGTCTGCCAGATTATCTGCTTTGACAAGAGCTCTGGACAACCCTGCAAAAGAGAAAGAGAAATAAATAAAATGACAAGTAGGGTATTACTATCTAAGTACAAACTAGAGAACAAAAAAGTAACGAGAACGGACATTCTCCGCCCCTCCCTAGCTTTGGATACCGCACCACACCCCGCACATTGACGGTCACACTGTTTTCAATTTATATGCAAATTTCAAATGAGCTTTTCAATGAACAACGTGCAATAAACTCTAGGAATTGCTCTTTTCAAATAAAATTAAATGCTATAGAATACATTTTGAATCATTTTGTGTGGAATCTAGACCATGTTGTCTTTCCGTATATCTTTAGCTAACACGTAGTCTACAATTTTGTAATATGACTTTTCAATTAAAATACTTTTAATGTAAGTTTTAAACTTAGGAAATGGTAATCTTAATATATGCTCCGTAATCTTATTATAAAAACGTATACAGTTCCCCATAAAAGAGTCGTTTACCTTGGTTCATCCATTCATTCATTCATTCAATCATTCATCAGTTTGGACTTAGTTCTAAGATTAATATTATTGTGGATAACTTCTTCCTTAACGAAATTAAGTATATTTTTACGGGCATAACAAATATTTGAGTAAATGTACTGTGATGCCACAGTCATGATACCAGTCTCCATAAACGTCTCTATGAGAGAAATCCGAGAACCTAAGGTATAAACCCTCGCCTGAGAGGAGACCCGTGCCCAGAAGTAAGACGTATATGAGTTGATGATGATAATGATTTGACACCCTGATAAACGTTCAGCGGTTTAAGACCTCAGTACAATCTCTCACTATACTTTAGGTCATATTTTTATTTATTTCAACATAGGCCAATATTACCCGACTGCAAAGTACAACATAAAGGAGGCTAATGGTGTACTAAAATCAAGCCTCTTGCGAGCACCAGTCATTTTTCTGTTGTAACAATCCATTACGTTTCAATACTAAGTACAAAACTCCTCTTTATCAAGAAAATTGTTTGCGTGTATGCAAGAAATATATTTAAGTAGACGTAGGTAATCGTACGAAGTTTGCTAAACTCTTGCGCAAGCAGACATATCGCATGAACTGTGGAAGGCCAGCGTTAGCAGACACGGTGTTTCACAAATTTTTTTTCTTGCTTTGAATTTATAGTGAACCGCGTAATTCGCTTTCGTTTATGAGTAAATTAGTCAATCACCGGTACCTGCACTCTAATCAAATTCGATATAGAATCTTTAATAACAAAATGTTGCTAGGCAATCAATGATGGCAGGTGAAAAGAATTTTTTGTCAATGCTATTATTTAGGCGAGCTCTGTCTACGTCCAGCGTAATTAGAATTTAAATAGGTATGCAGGTCATTGGGTTATGTCTGTACTGACCTGGCCAATTATTGTAATATTTGCAACGTCAATGTATTATTTACTAATAAAATAATAAAGTTTTTGGTTTGAAAATTGTAAGATTTTAATTTATATTAATTTACCACGTATGTCGTCCAGCATAAATTTCCGACTCTGAAATCGAACTAGAAATGTTTGCAATCTCTCCCTTCAAATCAGAGCAAAAAGGAAGCATAGCTGACTCTGTCAACTATAAACCTAACTCAGTCACTTCGAGACTCAGCAAGACTATGGAACGTGTACTCAACAACCGTCTTCTGTCGTACCTTGAAGACAACGATCTCCTAGTGATCGCCAGCTCGGAATCCGACGAGGGCGATCTACTGGAAATCTTCTGGTGTACGCCTTTCACATACGGAGCGAGGCTAGAAAAGCAAGACGAAGCATTTGCAGTGTCATCATTTCTAAAGCCTTTCATAGGGTCTTGGCCTTTGGTTTTATCTCGTCAATGTTCACTTTTTTAAAATAATTTTTAAAATAATTATAAGGAACTCATCCATTTGAATCTCTGTCTCTTGAGATACAGGTTTTTACCTAGTTCAAGAGTCTGTGTCGTTACTTGCTACTACCTGTTCCACTTTCATTGTAATTGTTGTATGTGTATTATTGTATCTATTTGTAATTTGTGGAAATAAATAAATTTTATTATTATTATTATAGGGTCTGGCACCCAAGCCTTTTAAGTAAGCTTCGCCTCTTATTCCATTGACCTCTGCAATTGGAATTCGGAATTCTTGAGCGCACGTCCGATTCAAGTGGTCTTACAATGCAACTCTTCCGAACATCGGGCGACAGATACCGGAGTTCCTCAAGGTTCCGTACTGTCTGCAACTCTCTTTCTGTTGCATAATGATATGTTAATTCCAGGTACCTTTGCGTATGCTGATGACAGCACAGTTGTAGATAGGTACTTGACCAATGCAAGGGTCGGTGGAGAGGAAATCCAGTCTCGTCGACAGTCCATGGTTAGCGATGCCAATCTTGTCAAATTTAACGGTACCAAAACGCAAGCGTGTCTATTCTCCACAAAACTAGCGAATGGATATGAACCTATCTCCTGAAACGTTGTCATTTTGCAAATGTGACTTTTATTTTTTTATAATACTAAGTGACGTAATTTGTCAAGTCCCAAGTGCCCGTAATCTAACCAGCTTCCTTATACCGCGTGGCGTCAGAAATAGGTAAGGCTTACTAAGGTACTTCCCTGGATGAATTCTTTCACAAGGAGATCTACTACTACTGAACTCATTTATTTTGCGTCCAAAAGTCGCATTATTGGAATCCACCACGACCATGACAGTGTTTTGGCAGAATAATTTTCAAACAAAATAAATGATATTTCAACTCTGATTTTCTACGTTGCATACTTACCCAGAGGCAATTGGCAGATCTGGAAGAAATCTAGGCAAAAACTTGGCATTTTCACTCCATTATCATGCTAACGTTGTTCAGTACGTATTAAATGTATTAGGTACATAAACTTGTAATTTCGTTGTTAATACAGAGTTGTTGCAGTGCCACTCAGAATATGTGAGGGGCACTGCCACTATGCCCGAAGCCCTGAGACAGAAGTTGCCAAGTCCCATGTGCCTGTAATTTTACCACCACCCTTACCTTTCCAAACCGGAAAACAGTAATGCTCACATTACTGTTACTGCTTGGCGGCAAAGCGAAATCTTTGACAAGTTGCTCTCCTGCATAAAGACTTTATTACACCAATATGGTGCGTACTTTTTCATTATATACGGGTTCGAGAAAATGTTACGTTATAGCATTATTTTATTGTGTTAGATGTATCTTGGTGTTCGTTGCATGCGTAGGTTGCATGTATGTTTTGTTGATATGTAAGTGGAATAATATAATCACGACTTTCAAACAAGTTTAAATTAAATAGTTTGTCATTAGTAATAGTTAGATTTTCTGCAGCTGGGCACGATTTTACTTGCAAAAAAGTTTAGATCCGAGATTCCCAAACTTTTTTGTGTCGTAAGACACGCAAATTTTGTTCTTAATTCAAATTCAAATTCTTTATTGCGTATCATGTTGTACAAATGTAGTTGTTAAAAATAATGTTGTGATGAACCAAAACATGAACCCTGGAAGGGCACTGCAATCTTAAAATTATATTAATTTATTAACAAGCAAATAATTTTATAACATTGATCCTTATAGAATTGAAATAATATTTAAATTACAAAATAATTAAAAACAATAAAATTTGGCAAATTTGACAAATTAAATAAGTTATAAAATTAAAATTAAATTAGGTATACGAAAAATGATTAAATTTTGTCAAATAATAAACTTTAAATAAAAATTGAAAAAAAAAGGATCACAATCGTCAACACAGATAAAATAATAATTCTACATTAATTATTTAAATATTCCTGAAGCGAATAGAAACATTTTTTAATGAGGTACTCTTTTAACGTTTTTTTAAATTTGATTACATTTCCTTCTTCCTTAATATTATTGGGTAAATTATTATAAATTTTCACCAACATTGCTAAAGGGCCACTTCGAAACATTTAAATTTTACATATGGGCTTGGCAAGCTGTATTTTTGGTCTTAAGTTTTGTGGGCGGGAGTGGTATGGAAAAAGATTTGGGTGCTTTCTAACAAAATCACAAGCCGCATAAATATAAAGGGAAGGAAGAGTTAATATTTCTTACTCTGAGAAGTATGGTTTACAGCTATCTGTTATTTTTATATTAGCAAGCACCCCTTTTCTTTCTTTTGCGTAGACCTTTGTATGGCAGCCCCATATCTTTCTACATTACTTTTGATAACATTGACCCTCCCTACCAACCCTTAGGGCATACCCGAAGGGCACTATAACCTGTGCGGCTGGAGGGACCGAAGGATATCTTGCTTATCCTCTACTAGCTCTCCGGCCTAGTGCCGGAGATGCCAGTCGCAGTGTTCTGCGACAATGTCCGGACATACCTTCCAACATAAAGGGCAACTCACGTGTCCCGCGCGTCTCCTCGCTTCTGGTCCTCAACTAGACCGCTACTAAGACGCGCTAGCTGCTCACGAGACAGACGCTCCGGCCACACCCAACCGGGGCAGACAAACATACGCGGTCGCTAGTGATAAATGTTACTATAATCTCATGGTAGAGGCATTGAATGAATGAATGAATTTATCTCATATAATCGCTTATCTGTGTCATGTGGATTATTCCATTCATGAAAGGTCAAACTCTAGTGGACTATTTTGCTGAAATGGAATCCTTAAAGACCCCTGGACCCCTGGGTTCGTATAGGTACCCCTATGGGAATCATCGGTTTAGATCATAGTTCACGCCGCCCACGTCTCCGAAGAGCCAAGCTGAATTAGCAACGAAATTATGAAACTCATACAATAAAACGTACGTAACAGTATAGATATTTATTTATTATTACATCAGCATAAGGCATGAATTATTGACAAAAACTTAAGCGAACGGATTAAAATTAAGTCGGTAAGTCTTTTGACATCGTTAACCCTGACAAAGGTCACGGCCGCATGGCCGCTACTGCTTTCATAGTAGGTTTACTGTGTGGTAGAGAAAATTAGGACGAAAAGTATGTACAATAGAATAAAAAATCACAAAGTTCTGCAGAATTTAAACTT